CAATTTAATACAATAAAATATAATGCTGCAATAATTTTTAAAGGGATTTCTAAAGCACAGCTACAAAGTACAGGACTCTAAGAAGAACTGGTTTGCTCCTGACTTTAGTGCAAAGTATCAGCGGCCAGCGTTTACGAAAATCGAGAGTCGGGAGAAAGTGGAATGCGAAATGTTACCTGAGTTTCTGGATGTTTGACTGGATTCCACACTGACGGTACACACCTGTAACGATTCCATGCATCTCAATTGCTTCCACACACTTCTTCAATATAATTGGCACTGCAAATGCTTCCACAGGTGATTTATGCAATTCAAAATAAATCTGAAAACACAAAAGCCGTAATAACTGACCATCGTCACCGGTTTTTCGCAGATATTCGATGAGATCTGTTCCAAAAACAGGTGGCGCTTGTCGCTGGGCATGTCGGTGCAACAGTGCTCGGACCAACGAACGATTCCGGCGTGGGCTCAGCTTCGTTTTTATTGTTTTTTCGTTTGTCAGCGCCGAACTGGCCGCTGCTGCGTCGCAAGCGTCACCGTTAAGTGCAGTAACCGCAGCAGAGCTGGCTGAGGAACAAACCTGCTGATCCGTCGATTGCACTGTTTTACCATCAAACACTTTAACACAATCACTTGGAAATATTCCGACCTGAAATTATGGGTCGTTCGATCACTGGGCATAATTTTCAAAGTGTTTGGGACAATGGATCCACGAAGTACGGACTATATTAGCAGAACTGAAGTTGCAACTATTTATTTACATGATAAGACGCTATGACAGAGCCGGAAAAGACGAAAAAATAAGAAACACAAAGACGCTGAGGGGGCTAAAAGCATCATGGAGCAACACGTTCCGGTCCATTAATCCATATTGCAATGTCCTGTTTTTCAGCATTATATTCCAGTGATATTCGAGGATTTTCGATAAAAGAGAATTTTTGCAGCAATACAGTGAGTGAGACAAACTCAGGAAGTGACGCACCAGGCTTGCCAGTGCGAACATGCGTTTTTGCGTGGCTCCATCTCGTACAGAAGTCGCCTTGCAGGACTCGGATGTGACTGGGATTTTGCAATTTGAACATTTGATCCGTCTGCACGCAAGGTTCGTGCCTAGACAGGAGCTCATCTTACGCCTGGTGGCCCACACATGAACAGCAGACATCCTCAGAAAAATATTCCTTTCTGCTCGGTCTAATTACCGAGTTAATCGGATGTCAAGAGTGTCCCGAACCAAAAATTTGCTTATGTCCATGCGAGACCTAGACAAAATACTTAGGTTACTTAGGTCCTCGTAAAATTTCAGCCTTCTAATT